TTCTTTCTTGCAATTTAATTAAAATTATCATGGATCTGTTTCTGGAATCTAGAAACAGCCCCATTCCAGGTTAGTTATAGCTTTGTCATCCAATCACCTTAGCCGCAACTAAAATCATAAAAAATATAATTGTTACATATCGACCATCACAATTCTCTTACTAGTTTTTAAGAAGAAAAAAAAGATAGTTTATCAGACATGCTAAATATGATTAAAAATAGCGCATGACAATAACAAAATTATGACCTTATACGCTGGTATGCAAACCACACGAGTATGATATAAATTGTTAAAAAAGTAGCATGTCTATCGATGCGCATGTTACTCAGGAATCATGATTGGTCTCTCCCATCATCTTGGTGTACATGTCCTATTTGATGATCATTGATATCTGAAAGTGGTGTGACCAAAGGACCATGTCTGGTCCCTCATTTATTCTTTCGTGGGTGCATCTTGTTGTGCACTGCCTGTTGTATAATCGCTGTGCTTTTATCAACCTCTGAATATGGTGTGACCCAAGGATCATGTCTGGCCACTCATTTATTCATTTGTGGATACTGTATGTTGCTGTGCATTGCCTGTTGTATAATCGCTGTGCTTTTATCGACCTCTGAATATGGTGTGACTCAAGGATCATGTCAGGTCCCTCATTTATTCATTTGTGGATACATGTTGCTGTGCATTGCCTGTTGTATAATCGCTGTGCTTCGTTCAACCTCTGAATATGGTGTGACCCACGGATCAGGTCTTGTCCCTTGTTTATTTATTCACAGTCACATTTTGTCATGTTGTCTACCTTGGGTGATTACTGTTCTTGTATTGATCTCTGGAAGTGGTGTGACCCAAGGCTCATGTCAGGTCCCTCGTTTATTTATTCTGTCACATCTTGTTGTGTTGCCTGTCCTGGGTGAATACTGTTCTTTGATTGATCTATGTCTGGTCCTTTGCTTCATTCATGGTCACGTCTTGTTCTGTTGGCTGTTGCGTTGGCTGTTGTGTAATCATTGCTCTCTTCTTGGGTTGTATGTATGAACCCATCCCCGCTGCGGCTTCAGCTTCTTTCTGTGTGTATGGTTCCATCTCTAGGGCCTTCAATCTGGGTTAGAGGGAAAAATGAAAAAGCGACAGAAATTCAAAAGACGCATACATCTATACACATTCATTAAAGCTTATCTGTACTAGCGTACAGGAGGGATCAGACCACACTGCTATGTCACTGGACAAGTAATTATCTCATCAAATCAGCTCTCACTTAACATAAGAAAAAGAGGATCATGGGGGACCAATGGTCACCGATTAGGTATTGTTTGTCATATAGAGGGCGCAAGTAGCTACAAGTAGTGCAGGGGGACTTCAAGTGAAACCTGTTTGTAAAGATCAATAAAATGATGTATAGGCTCCTTGAGATAATCAAAAGTAAATTCCAATGACAGACACGGGGGGGGGGGGGGGGGGGGGGGGGGGGTTCACAAATAATAAATTCAACATCAAGAACATGAAATCACCTTGATAATAGGAAATAAGAATGATTTGAATTAACATTCCATGCCTCTTAAAATAACTTTTACAAAAATATTTTCAAAGATGCTTACAGCTTTTCATAATTGTTAAGTCCAGTTTAGAGATAAGTTCAACTTAGGATCTTTGTGAAACAGCCCCCAGGTGTTCAAGGAAAACAAACCTTTACAGACAGGGGAACTTTCTATACAGGTGGTTCCTGGTTTCACTGTAGATACATGTACATGTACTGTAATGTACACACATACAGGTACATGTACGTAGTTTGAAATAATTGTACTCTAATGGCAAGAGACATGCGTCAGTCAGTTTATATGCCATACTCAAATTCATCACTCAAATTCTGTCATATACAAATCTTGTAGTCGGGCCTTAAATTTCAGTATTTTTAGGGCAAGGCCACTTTTCTGTAGGGCACATTCCTATATTACAGCACAAATAGGAAGAATTGGATGGAAAGGGCACAACAAATCTCCAAGGCCAATGAGAGGGGCATTGAGGCCAATCAAAGGGGCATCCACGGCCATGGCCTTGGTGGCCTTGGATTAATTTAAGCCCTGTTGTAGTAAAATGCTTGATGTGAAATTGGAGCAAAATGGAATGTAGGCGACTCTGAGTCTCTGACACATTTCTGAGAACTAGGCTTGACTTCTTGAAAAAACATCTGATAATCTGCGTCTTTGATTCTTGATGTCCTTAGACAAGGGAAGGCACCTTGTATCCTTCGGAAACTGCACTATCAAAGCAGAATTATTTTTCACTATTATTACTACATCATGTATCTTCATGAACACCACTTGATTTTTAAAGAAAAAAAAGAAGAGAAAGACAATAAAAAATGATTCTCTTCCTTCATGCTCACCTCCGTTTGTGTGTTTTTTGGCGAAAGTGGGCCTTCATAGCACCCTCATCAACAAAGTATCTCCTGCAAAATAACAACAAAATCAACTTAATCAGATATTTCACTAAACTTTACGATGTGTATAGTGAAACACTCGAGATTGATTCATCTTACAACCTTATGTATTACAAAAATATAATTTCTTATAGACTAAATCCAATATTGCTATTCAATTCTGACAAGACTGACATGATTGACACAATACAGTATAGACCCTTATATCTTTAAAATTAGAATTATTGATTTGAAATATATTTGTCTATATTACTGCACTAAAATATGATTCAACCAAGTATTTGAGTAAGGTTGTCAGTTGTAGACCCCTACTTCGATTTTGCATAAATGTTTGACTCAAAGCATTTTATTTCTATGAAAGTGTGATTTTCATTTTGATTTGTAGTGTCATGATTATGTAATTTAACAACTTATAAAGTATTTATTGTTTTCTTGAAAATGTGACGTACCAGTTTAAAGGGATTGGGTAACTTTGACTCGGATTCTAAAACAAAATCCTGGATTTAGCTCATGCTGCAATGATATTGATAATAAACCTTTAGGTCAGTCAGGAACCCATGACTTTTACTAGACGATCGCATGTCTGATTATCAAGATATTTATGACTGGAAATCAGATCCTCATGATCATTACGGTAGATAACTTCAAACAGGCGTGCGCTCGCCCGCAACCCACCACCTGTATGCCCTTGTATTGTCATGATTATGCAGTGGTTTGCCGTGAAACCTGTGAAAAAAGTAATACCAACGTTTTTCCAAAAATAACAAGAAAAATGACATGAAACAGGTAATAAACATAACAAATTTTAACTCATGATCTTTATTTAAACATTTGAGTTTAAGAATTTAGTGGGGTTTCTCCACGCCAGCGTTACGTTATAGTTACGGGTCAAATTTTGGATAGACTTCTAACTTTGTTAGACTACAGGATGAGGATCGATCTAGGCTTCTGAACTAGCGCCCGTTGAAATGGGCAAAAATACAATACATCTCTGAGAACAATTAAAATTATTTCTTGTAGAGAGGTTTCCTCTCTACTATTACTCACGCGCAATGTAGGCAGTAATGTTGTGCTGAACCGGGTTTGTCAAAATCTACTTTTTGATGGAGCAATTTATCGGCATGTTGGGGTTTCAAATCTTCGTCGATTTCGTCCAAGTCCTTCGTTTTCCTTTTCGTTCGGTACTTCTTCTTGATGTGTGTGTAGCCTTTGTGATGTCTTTTCCGGGCTTGTCGGGTCATTTTCCACTTATTATTACTCCCGCTTTAAAGAAGAAGAATGTTAACTTGAAGTTCTTAACTGAACAAAATGCACTAACTTCGATGCACGTGTAAGGGACTGTGATGAAGGCAACTGCGCATGCATTAGTCACGGGGGGGGAATGAAGGTAGCGTAACTTATCCATTGTAAACCAAAATGTGAAGTTGCCAATTTGATGAACGTACAAATGGGATTTCTACACAACACGTCATGTAGTACAGTCTTTACTCGATCAATGCGTTGTACCAGGGAGACGGGCCAGGGGCATACGATTGTATAGCAGGCAAATTGTTTCGTTAATGTGTGCATATATATTTTTGGTTGCTGTCACATGGTAAAAGTAATTATGCACAGGATAAGGACAGTGGCAACACTTCCGGTGGGGGGGGGGGGGGGCGTCCAGGACACAGTGCCCCATTTTTTCAAGTAACCCCCAAAGTGCCTCTTTTACATAGGAAAAGTGCACACTTTGTACTTTTAATAGGTTCCACCTCTGCCACTGATAATCGCCCCTATTCAAATCTGAGAGGCGCCCTAAGCTTTTTTTTCTTAATCGTATACCCCTTTTTTATTTTTAACGTACCCCTTTTTCTTTATAACAAGATCCCCTCTTCCTCGTGATAAGGGCCTTCATTTAATAATAACGTATGAGCCATATTTCCCCTTTCTCATAAATGTCCCTTTTCGCAAATACCCCTATTAAAAATTGCCCCTTTTTCTCTGACAAGTGCCATTTTCCATTCCCATAAGTGCCTCTTAATTTCCATCTTTGGTAAGTGACCTTTTTTATGTAAGAGAAGATTGAGCATTTTTTACTTCTAAATATCGCAATTTTTACTTTGACTGTTTGACACATATCCTTTTAATATGATAAGTGCCAACTTTTCCTTAGCTTTCTCCATAACATAATTTAAAGTAATGGTGCTGTTGAAATGTTTTAAACCAAAGTAAAGGAAAAAAATGCTTTCTCTTACTTAATAATTAATTTTTCTTGACTTTCTTTGGTCAAAATCACCCACAATTTTTTTTACTTGCACTGTACACTCGGCACTTGACAAACACAAGGTACGATAATACGCCAACGGCGGACTGTACTATACTGGAAGAAGAAGAAGAAATTACCAAGGTTGAATTTTTCTCACCGAGGCTTTCAAAAAATCACAAAATTTTCGATTGTTAGTAACCGAGTTCAATAGATGGCAACACCCATCGTATGATCTATTATTAGTCGAGAAATTCAGTCACGGTTGACCCAATTGCGTAATACCAGTACGATCGCTATCGTAAATTAACTTCGTGCATAGATCTATATTGGTAGGTGTGAAACCGGTAAGTAAGTTGTGTTTGAAATATTTCTTGATATCTATTGAATTGCCGATGAAAACAGTGAATTGAATTTAGTGAGAAATGTTATATTTGTTTTGGTGTAAAAATAAGTTAAAGTAAAATAAGATTTGACAAGAATAAGAAGATAAGATGCTCCCCTTTTTCGGCCAGCGCCAGCCTCGGCCGCTCCGCTGCCGCTGCCCGGCCCGGCTGATCGCTGACAAGGCTCTCATCTAGCGCTAGCAGCTCACTCCTTTTCTCTCTCAAACTGGAATTGTATGGCTAGATACCGCACTTACACACACTCACAGAGTCCTTCTGCCAAGCTGTGACTTCTCAATGTCTGTTAGATCTAGGCTACTGCACGATAATTTCTAACTTCTAATTAGATCTAACAAAGTTAGGGTCTAACGTTATGGGCATAGACTCTAGAATAGATTTATGCATGGCAATGAATGAACAAAAATGTCATTGACTGATTGAACATCAAGTTTTCATTCTCTGTTTTATTTGTAAATAAAGCAATCTGTATGTTAGATCTATTCGTGCAAAAGAAAGGAAATTTTTGAGAAAAGTCTATTTTGTGCTATTTCATAATTTTCATTCACAACTTTAATAAATAATAGGTCTAGGCCTAGACTATTGTAACGTGTTTATTAACCGAGGGAACTTATAAACCAAAATCAATCATCGAACATGCTGCATCAAAAACAATCCAAACTCTCCAACAAAACTCAAGTAAACCAAGACAGTAGAAAACACAACCTCACACGAAGAAGGACGGAACAGAACTAACTTTAATACTCAATATTATAACATGGCTCTGAGTACAACTCAGGCATCATAACAAAATAAACCAATCAGGAGAAAGTCATGTGATAAGAGAAATGAATGAGGTGAACAGGCTAGATAGATCAAAGGTGAGAGGCAAAGAGAACGAATGAGAGAAGAGAAAGTGCATGTTGCTAGGGCAGGAAAAGGCAACCATGCATAGAGAATGAGAAAACAACAAAGGGAATGGGTTTGAAGGAGAGAGAGGAAAATAAGGTGTGGCAGTAGTGCAACTGAAAGACTGTGCTGTAAGAAGGTGAATGAAATGGGAACATGAGCAGGGAAAATGAATATGCAAATGAAGAATGCAAATATATAAATGAATATGTAATAATGGATAAGGAAGAGATGAGAAATTTACTAACTGAAATATAAAGACAAATTCAAACTGTTACATAAATATCCCTCCACGCAAAAATTGTCCTCAATTTTCTAGAGGTGCGTATTAATTGGCTGCCTTTCAAACTACTAGCAAAACCATGTAATAAAAAAAACATTTTCATTGAACCCAAAACTTGAGTATATACGTAATTGCATATCCTATATAATTTGTTATGCAATCAGGGTACTTTTCATTTACCTATCAATTTCTTCTCTCTTTTTTTCCGACATAAGCACAAAACTTCCCTTTCAATGAAGCCAAACTCTATGATCTATTTACACATTCAACTAGAATTCCGAAACTATAAAAACCCTTAATTTGAACCCTGTACTAACAACTAAAGTAGAAGCACCATCTTAAAAGGCAGAAGTGCTTCAAACTGACGACAAATTGTCGACAATGAATTTATGACCGAAAATACAGAAATTGTCACTGTCCTATTTCTTTTTTCTTTTTAAAAAAAAATAACAAGTCAATTCAATGGCTAAAGACAATCAGAAGCGATTGTCCCAAATGTACTTTTTTCAAAATATGAGCAAGAAATACAGTTATGATTTGGAATCTCCAAAAACAAAATAAGAACACTTGTTCCACAAATTCCCAATATTCATGAATACATGTAATTGAATCCATGAATAGCATATTACATTATCTTTATAAAAAAAACGCTTACATGTAGCAACGTCATGTCTGTACTTTACACAGATCCATTACATCAATAGCATTGAAAATATTGAGATTGCAGTCAGTGCTTATACAACAATAACAGAAAAATACTTCTGTTGCAGAGACCAAAAAAGAAAAGATCAAAATCTCCTTGAGTATTTGATATCTCGCATTTAAAACTAAAATTGTGAGTGTACCGGTATATCAATCCGTTTCTTTTTTCTCTTTTCCGTACAAAATTTTGTCTTGCACGTTTTTGGAAATTGTCTTTTAAACAAGTAATGACTGCAAAAACAATGTTACACAAAATCTCCATATCTCGTCGGCTTGACGACAGCCCGTCCAGATCTGGTTCGAGTTTGGTTTGGTCGTCTCAGGGGTCGTTGTGGAAGTCCTGGGGGTCCTGGGGGTGGTGGCTGTAGTCCCAGGGGTGGTGGAGGTAGTCCCGGGGGTGTTGGCAGAAGTCCAGCCGGTCCCTGAATTGGCGATGGTGGAACAAGTAACCCAGGTGGTGGGTTATTTACTGGAAGAAGGGGGGTAGCATTCCCTGACTGGTCCCTAAATGGTAGGGAACCAGACAGAGGGGTGAAGTAAGGACGGTGAAGGTAGATGAAGGTAGGAGGAACGTCCGTGGTAGATGATCGGACGTCAGCCCTGGTACGTGGAGTCCACTCAGATCGGTACGGCTTGAGTCTGTTCTTGAGGGGGGCGTGGTAGCTGGGATTAGGTGATCTAATCGTCTCACATGCCCTGCATGTCTTGCAGAAATCAAGGACATCTCTATGCATGTAGGGCCAGAAATAGGATGACTTCGCTCGTTCGAGAGTCTGTTCTGCACTAAAGTGTCCTGAAGTTGGGTGACCATGAAGAAGCTTCAAAACTTCTTGCACTAAGCTTTCTGGGACTATGGCTTGGTAGAGCTTAACTGATCGTTTCTCGTCCATTTTTGTGCGATACAAGATATCGTTGTGGATGGATAGACGAGAAAGCTGCCAAAGAAGTCTGCGCTTTCCAGGCTGGCTGCGACGTATTTCCTTGACAGTCGGCCTCGCATTATTGGTAACCATGTGCCGGATATCTTCAAGGTCTTTGTCTAGCTTCTGGTGGTGAAGAAGCTTAGGCTCTAGTCCTTGGAGGCAGGTTGGAGGGGATGATGAAGGCTGAGGAACTTCTGATTCTAATTCAGACATGGTTTGGGTACCAACCGAAGAATAGGATGTAGCATTAAGGGTGCACACCTGAGAACTCTGAGTGGAAGAAGGACGAGAATTCTGCGGCTCCTCCTGGCTGTCAGGGTGACGAGACAAGGCGTCTTGGTAGGAGGCTCGTCCGTCTTGCTGGGGTCTGTAAGATGGATAACTGTGACTTGGGCTCGATGGACGACCATGACCTGGACTCGATGGACGACCATGACTTGGACTCGATGAACGGTACTGATCATGACGAAGGGTGTACCTGGGTCGAGGACTTGGTGATCGATATCGTTTTGTAGATGAAGACTCGTAGCGTTGTGATGGTGAGTGGTAGCGCTGGGGGGAACTCTGGTCATACCTCTCAGTGTACCTGTGTTGAGGGCTCTGTGATCTTTGCCTTGCAAAAGGGTTACGTGAATGATGAAGGTTGTGATTACTGAATCGTGATTTCAGCCTATCGACATCATTGTCTTTAGAGCGGTAATGGCTGAGTTGAGTTTCCAGGTGGTCAAACCTCTTATCCATTCTCTCCAGTCGGTTGACAAGCTGCCGGATAAGATCATCTCGGGTGGCTTTAACAAAAGTGTCTGGATTAGGAACTTGGGCATGTCTTAGGCGGGTTCTTTCAATCTGAAGAGCAAAATCTAGGGCCTCCTTGAAGGTTGAGACTCCAAGCTCATCGATGCGAATTCGGAGGAAATCACTTAGACCGGCAACAAATCTACGGACCATCTCTCCCTCTTGAGCCTTTTCCCCATACTCAGGGAAGGCTTCTTGTACTAAAGTTGTGATAGCGGCTGCATAAACCTCTAAAGGTTCATCATCCCGCCTAGTCCTGGCGTTAATGCATGACTGGAATGCGGCTATGTCATTCTTTCTACCAAAAACAGCAGAAAGCGCTCTCTCACTCTCTGCAAAACTTGCCCTTGTTGAAGAAGGAAGATTCTCCCACACCGTAAAAGCTGATCCAGCCAGGCGAGAAGGAAGGAGGACATGCAAACGACTCTCTGTACTAGGGTCAACTTCGGCTGCAACTTTCAGACGCTTTGCCCACTGGGCAAAATCTCTCCCATCCTTCCCGGTAAAAATCTCGGGTAAATCTATCCGGAACATGGTAAGTAGACTGCTGTCCACAGCAATATAATATACAATAACTATATGTAGCCAACCAATAACCTACGCCAGGCGACGGTGAAGAAAGGCTGGACTACGAGGTAAGTATAGTAGATGTACAGGGGTGCAGGAAAAAACTCACTCCCGATTACGTGTGAAAATATAGCTGCTCTATCAAGTCCAACAACTAGACGAAGACTTAATGAAATAAGCTTGTGAAAAGTAGTACCTAAAGGAGGAAGTACGTACAACAGACAAATAGTTGTGGATTACGATGCAATTACCTGAACAATCAATGATTGTCAGAAAATACAAGTCCTGAGCTGCCGATCCAAGTATCAAACTGATGAAGGATGAACATACACATGTACAGGTGGTGTACATGCAAGTTACAGGCGGAAAAAGGAAGATTAACCTCAAAGCTGGCTCAACAGGATCACTGCATGAAGAATAACTGCGACAAGGCTAGCAATATCTAACGAGGTACCCACAAGTAGTACAATAAGACTGATATTCGAGTGGTGAAAATGAGTCTTGTACATCAACAATTCAAGAAAAGTCAGCATAACCCACATTAACCAAGAAGGGAGAACCTTGTAAAACAACAAGAATGTCCCAATTAATGAAGTAGGGTGAACTACACTTAATTATCAACTGGTGACTCACCAAAATAATCGTAGAACTATGGCGAGCTTGAAGTTGAAGAAGAGGATGTATGATGATATAGCTTGCTAATTAGCACCAAGCTTGCTGAAGGAGGGTGAAAACAGAAGCAAGGTACAGGCAAACAGCAGCAAAAATATGAAAGCACGACATGGCGAAATTGGTTCGAAATAATCTGGATAAAACACAGAAACACCGCTGCCACCAATTGTAACGTGTTTATTAACCGAGGGAACTTATAAACCAAAATCAATCATCGAACATGCTGCATCAAAAACAATCCAAACTCTCCAACAAAACTCAAGTAAACCAAGACAGGAGAAAACACAACCTCACACGAAGAAGGACGGAACAGAACTAACTTTAATACTCAATATTATAACATGGCTCTGAGTACAACTCAGGCATCATAACAAAATAAACCAATCAGGAGAAAGTCATGTGATAAGAGAAATGAATGAGGTGAACAGGCTAGATAGATCAAAGGTGAGAGGCAAAGAGAACGAATGAGAGAAGAGAAAGTGCATGTTGCTAGGGCAGGAAAAGGCAACCATGCATAGAGAATGAGAAGACAACAAAGGGAATGGGTTTGAAGGAGAGAGAGGAAAATAAGGTGTGGCAGTAGTGCAACTGAAAGACTGTGCTGTAAGAAGGTGAATGAAATGGGAACATGAGCAGGGAAAATGAATATGCAAATGAAGAATGCAAATATATAAATGAATATGTAATAATGGATAAGGAAGAGATGAGAAATTTACTAACTGAAATATAAAGACAAATTCAAACTGTTACACTACTAAGCCTCAAAATGCTATCTTTCATGAAATAATTTGTTAAATTGTATGCATGTGCATGTTTTTTCTCTTTACCTTTCAGAACTAGCTTTTCAGCATGGAAGCGCGAGCTCTAGGAGTCTTTGCTATGCGTATGAAGTGGGCTCCTATACATCAGCTATGTAATAGATGTTACCGGAGCCTAAATAAGGCAGGCGTGTTGAGGGGAGCGTTACAAACTACCATGGCTAGCAGAAGGACATGTTCTTCAGACAATAGCCTCAAACCAGCAGATCCATCATTGAATGGTGAGTAGTAGTAGTGGTATCATAACTTGGAGGTCCCGGATTTAAAACCAATTGATCCCCATTACCAAGTCCCTCAGAGAGGACTTAAAGCCGTCAGTCTCCTGGTCGCTTTCTTCCAAGCATTAGCTTTCTTAGCAGTCGGGTAAAACAGGCAAACCGGCTATCAACCATCAAATCTGGGGACATTTAGTCCTTAATCAAGGTCACCTCTCGAAGGAAAGGTCTTTCTTTCAAAGAACATTAATTTCATTATATACAAATAATTGGTTAGAATAGATCATAATACATTGGTTCATCCACATGACTCTTAGTGGACAGCTCAAAGGGTTCGACCGCCAGCTCATTGATACCATCCTTTAGCGAGCCACTAACCCAAATTTACCTCTCTCCACCCAGGGCCCTGTTTCATTAAACTTTTTTTACCAATAACCGGTTATAATAACTGTTATATTAAGCTATTGAAATCATTGCATTTGACTGGCTGAGAGCAAATATGTCATAGATATTTAGCATTTGTTATTGATAACAAGTTTTATTAAAAAAAGGGCCCTGATGTTTAAGATATCAGACAGCTGGTCATTGACTGCGGTAATGATATTGGAATGCCAGGAGTGATGGGAATTTCTCCTATACATTAAAGGTACTATGTCCCTTTTGCAGCCAACCTCAAATTCTGTAGAACTTTGCAGGAATTATGAATATGTCATGTATGTCCTATCTGTGAAATTTAAACGTTAGCAGTGTCCTTATATTCAAATTATGCAAGGAAACCTGTTTACTTGCTAGACTTCACTGTCAGACACTATTGAGTGACTGACTGGCTTTTTTTCGTCTTTGGTAATAACATAGGCCTACATAAAATGAGCTGTAAAGGGAACATGAGCGTTTGTCTACATCAATAACCCACTTCTTGTGATGGCCAAAATTAACTAATCAAATCTTTACGCAGCATAAAACGTATGACCTTTCAGTAAAATGGTCTGAAAATCAAGACTATTACTTATTGGCTCTATAGCTCCTAAGTCGATTTGACAACTAATAGCCGTTATTTTCCCACTTGAAGACATTTTCAAGCCCCACCCTTTTTAGGGAGGTTCTAAATTTGTATTGTCTTTCAAATGCCGTTGGAATTTAAACTTTTCATTTTTTGGGCCTCCAAATGGGACATACTGTAGTACCTTTAAACCACTCATTTTTTTGTACTTTCATCTGATTTTTCTCCTTTTGTAGGGTCAAGACTGACGGGTCGTAGTCTGATGTTGGTAAAAGGTCGCGATGCTCAGGACCTACTTCAGGGTTAATGACCAATGACGTGCAGCAGCTGAATGGGGGCGAAGGTCAAGAGGTCATCTATTCCATGTTTCTAAATAAACAAGTGAGTAAATTGCATCTTGCGAATATAATGTATTTATGCGCTTTGTAAGTGACATTAATTGAAGTTTAAAGTATTTCTTGGTTATGCACGTTGTATCTAATGAAAATCTGCTTTATAAATATAAGATTATCATTAATATTATTATTATCATTATCAAAGCTAGGTGACCAAGCATTTGCTTGTGCTGTCCCAAAACTCTGGAATAACTTGCCATTTGAATTTTGAAGTCAGGAAATCACCGTTCGTAAATGTCTTTAAATCAAATCTGAAAACACATCTTTTTAATTTAATGTAAATCTAAGCATATCAGGAGCTCTTGTAGCGCAGTAGAATATATACCTAATGTTGGATAGTTTCTGCGCTCTATACATGTATTATTTTTATTATTATTGTGCTATTACTATTATTATTTATGGTATTATTTATTAATTTAACTATCAATAATATTTGCATTATTATTATTAGAAGTATTATTATCTTTGTATTGCAGGGGCGAGTCCTGTATGATGTTATGTGTTACCAGTGGAGTAAAGATCCAGAGGGAGACACACAGTCATACCTTCTAGAGTGTGATAGCGCCATCTCGCAGGAATTACATAAACATCTCAAACTCTACAGAATCAGGAAGAAGGTGATTATCTCTGTCATATCCTCTGTTTTGAGTCAGAAGGGCTTTAACTATTTAAACCTATACAAAATAATGTCCTTCTGTTGGACTCCACTAAGGCGATATAACCATTTGAAAGTAAACCTCTATACAACTATGGGTGAAACTCAAAGGGAATTAATTGATGATAGGTAAATAAATAAATACATACCGGTAAATCATAATAATAATGATGGTTAAATTTCATTTCCTAAGAGTCGTTTAGCATCAGTACCGAGGCCTTATAATTTCCAGATAAAAAAAAATAAATTAGTTTGTCGAAAAGATCAATTTAATTTGTAAATCCAATTTAAAATTAGGGGAGGGGGGTGAGGTACCGTTTTTCATGACTTATTTGAACGCCTCCCGCAAATACTCGGCACCTTGCTTCATTTGGATTTCATCACTATCATCATCACTATCATCATCTTGTAAAGCACTATACATTAAGTACTAACATCATTATCATCACCATCATCATCACCAACATGACCATGACCATCATAATCATCATCACTATCATCATCATCTTTTATCATTATCAGCACTAATGTTTCTTTTCCTATTCACATGATATTCAGGTGGATATCACATCACTGGATTCTGAGTACCATGTATGGTCCATCTTTAGTCCTGGCCCCACTCCTCCCCCTAGCCCAGGATCTAAATCCGGCCCATCTCATTTCTTCACTGACCCTAGGGTCAAAGGTCTAGGTCAGAGGGTCATCGTCCCACAAGGCAGTCAAGGTAGGTTCTAGAGTTGGACATTGCATTCATTAAAATGACCATTTAGTAGCTTACCATATTTCTTATTTGTCTTAATTTACACTAAATGCAATTTATTTAAAATTCAAATTCAAGTTCAATGTTATTCATTTGTATATTTTTGTGCAATCATAACAAGATGACAATGACAATGATGTATATGTATACAGTGTTTACAGGCCTTAAAGAGAAGGTTGAGTTCTGGGAAGAGGTGAAAAATAATTTGTGAGCATTACTCATTCTTATTATGCAAGTGTGGAAGAAAATCAGTTAAGACATGTTCCCTGAAAAGCTTGGCTCTTCAAATGCCTTCATATTCTAAATATACATGTAACATCGTAAAAATCGGGGGGCCGGCTTTTTACGCCATGTGTTTGTGTAGTCCCATATACATCTTTCTGTGCAAGTGTTTGTAACTTTACCAAGACTTGGCCAAATTTCTTATCATTTTGATGATTCCAGAACCTTGCAATACACACAAATTCTTATATGCTAGATGATCAACCTTTTCTGGTCGGTTCCACACCGTTTCTTTCACAATGCAATCGCATGACCAGAACTCAACTTCATCTTTAAATTTCAATATTTTTAGGGCAAAGCCACTTTTCTGTAGGGCACATTCCTTTACAGCAGAAATAGGAAGAATTGGAAAGGGCACACAAAATTTCCAAGGCCAATGAGAGGGGCATTGAGGCTAATCAAAAGAGCATCCATGGCCTTAGATTTATTTAATTCTAGTGTTAATGATACAGTTGTTTAAAAAGTTTAAAGGTAAAGATCAGTTTTGGAAACGCCCCCCTCTCAAAAAATGAAATGGAAGCTCTTATTACCAACCATGTGAAAGAATATGTTATGACTAAGACGTGATCATACAAATTTTGCTGAGAAACCGCCTACTAATTGATATATTTGGTAAAATTATTATATCTTTTTGGACCTGATAGATATAACGCACGTGTGGGGGTAGTTCCATATACATCTTTCTGTGTACAGTGCTTGTAGTTTTATCAAATTTCTTATCATTTTGAAGATTCCAGAACCTTGCAGTACACACCAATACTTATATGCTAGATGATCAACCTTTTTTGATCGATTCCACAACGTTTCTTTCACAATGCAATCGCATGACCACAACTGGTCTTTATCTTTAATTAAGAAAAGAAACTAAAACAGCAATTCAATTAAGTTTGGTTTTATTTCTGAATCTTTGAAAAACCAAATTAATGCAAAGTATATTTCACGTAAAACATTTTAACAGTCACAATGATTAAGGAAATGAAGCTAACTGAAAACAGAGCTCGTAATTGTTGCAGCTCAATGTAAATAAGGATATCATGTTGAAAAGTCTTTTTTTTTCTCACAAGCTTGAGTGTATGAAGATCAAGATAGAAGGCTCAAAAAAATGTTAACGAGTTTGTAAATAAAATCCAAACTTTCAATGAGAAGGAACATTTAGTCATGCCATATTACATACTGCACTTTGTACATGTACATTCAGCAATAACTTGTTTGCAGGGCATTTTTTATTGCCATTGGAACCCCATTAAATTCAAAGCAATCAATTCTTTGTTATACCAACTTTAGAGGTAAAGACCAGTTTTGGAAACGCCCCCCTCTCAAAAAGTGATTTGGTAGCTCCTATTACCAATCCTGTGAAAGAATATGTTTTGATTAATACGTGATGATACAAATTTTGCCGAGAAACCACCTACTAATTGATATATTTGTTAAATTATTGTATCTATTTGGACCTGATAGATATTGCGCATGTGTCGAGTAGTCCCATATACATCTTGCTGTCTACAGTGCTTGTAACTTTACCAAGACTGGGCCAAATTTTTTATCATTTCGGTGACTCCAGAACCTTGCAGTAAACACCAATACTTATATGCTAGATGATCAACCTTTCTGATCGATTCCAAAACATTTCTTTCACAATGCAATCGCATGACCAGAACTGATCTTTATCTTTAAGTCTGGCTGTATTACATGTATTGTTCTTTATATGTTATACAGTACCTGGTATTGAAGAAGTTAATGAAGAAGATTACATGATGCATCGTTATCAGTGGGGCGTGGCCGAAGGGGTCAACGAACTTCCTACAGGAGATTGTCTCCCTCTAGAGTCCAATCTAGCTCTCATGAATGGAGGCAAGTAGTCCATTTTTCTTTTCTTTTTTTTCTTCTCTTTACCTCCCACTGAATTCATAACTAGTGTATACAATTTTACAATGTTGGCCTAAAAGTGCTGTTCGGTTGGGAGGAACTCGGATGCAGGATGCATTTTCATGAAACAGAGATACCAATCTTCAGGATTTTTCAAATAAATTGAGAAAAGTTCAGGGGGAACAAAAATAAATATCAGGAAGAAAAAAAAGTTGAAATATCTTGAAAGCCCCCCCCCCCCCCCCCCAAAAAAAAAAATAAATAAATAAATAAAAAAAATAAAATGATTTGAAGTGCTGTAAAAGTAGTGTTGTGAATAATGTTACTGTTCACTACGCTCACTTTGCTCAGGTTACTTTCTCGATATTTGAAAAAAACTTCCTTATATCATCTCTAATGAAATGATGTAATTGTATGGCAAGGATGTAATCAAGTCTTTTAGCTGCCCACAACAGGTTTACACATTGACACGGTATATGTCAATTGCAAGCTAATTTGTCTCATACTTTACCAATCATTGTTTCAAGCTATTAGAGCTCAAATCAGAGAAAATATTAAATACAACTGTATAATGAAAACTTTCATGCTATTTTACACTCACAATTCCACAATATAGTTCTCTAATACTTGTTGATATATTGGACATACCTAAGGCTTGCCAGTACACGTGCATGTATATATAATTTTTTAAATTCTTGTTAATATTTGTTGTTGATAATTTCATTATTTGCATGTCAGTAACCATTTTTTTTCCTTCTTTGTCGGTGATCAAGTTTTAAGTATTATTGTATCAAGGTGATAAACCTACTAGAGCATCAAGCAGAGAAAATATTAAATAGAATTATATTTTTCATTTCTTAGTGTAGTTGGTACTTGGTGCTATATAAGACATACCTTAGGCTTGCCCATATTCACGTATGTATGTTAGCTTTATTTTCATGTCAGTAATCATTAGTTTGTTCTTCTTCTTCAGTGAGTTTTACCAAGGGCTGTTACTTGGGCCAAGAACTCACCGCCAGGACGCATCATACCGGAGTCATCAGAAAAAGAGTCATGCCGATCCAGCTCGCAGGGTGAGAATAAAGGAGAGGAATATAATATTGAAATACACATTTGGCCAATTCTTTTAACTCGTATCCTGCCATAAGGCTGCTTACACGCTATCGGTAAAGTGCTTTGTACACGCAAGCGTGCTATCGATTGGTTGCTTCATTCATGCGAGCGAGCTACTGCTTATCTGCTTTGTGCATGCATGCTCGCATTCGTAATAGCAGTTATTGTTCATGCCCATTGCACAATGCCTAGTGTTTCGCATGTGCTATTGATAGTACCATCGCGCTAATCCGATTATCTCAAAATTAACTTGGCACAGGGGATTTGAGGTTTGGCACAATGGGGATTAGCCCTGTGGCTCTGGGCTGTATTCATTATGGCACGATAAGAGTTAAAGACCCTGTCGAGGCGAAAAATGAAATAGATGAAGTATATATCAATGGGTCCAATCCGGTCCAGATGTTTTGTCGTCACTGTGACTGGCAGGAATTTTACTTTCAATTTTGTTTTTAATTTTAATCACAATTGATGAATTTGTTGTAGATATTTTTCATTCTGCCGTAAGTTCTGCATTAGAATTGTCTATTATGTAAATTTTGCATAATACTTTTAAACCTAATGTTTGCATTGTTTTTAATCAAGGGCCCTCAAGGACAGCAGTTTTTTAAAACTGCAGAGGCAACCCTGTTTGAATAAAATAGATAAAATAAGACTAGTCCATTAAAGACCCTTGTGATGTTCACATTCACTGGGTTCTTAGTTCTTGTGGTTCTCCTACCGGTACAAGGCAATGACGAATGATTTCACTATAGTTGTTTATCGGGGGGGGGGTGACTTCATATACATATTGTGGTTGTGCTCATCATTAAGTGTAATTGAAATTTCAGATTAATGCTTGGATTTTATTTTCATTTATCAACTTTTAATGCATGTTAATAATAATTAAACATTTTTATATAGTGCATAACACATAGGCAAATATGTCTCTATGCACTTTAATAAAAAGAACAAAAAACAAAAACAATGCACTGGGTTCATGATTTTGATTATTTATGAAGTGGTGAAAAAGATATGTCTTTAGAGAATTGGTAAAGGTTTTATAGGATCCTATAGATTTCAGTTGTTCTGGCAACTTGTTCCACAAAACAAACAAACAAACAAAACAAAAAGAAGAGAAGAAGAAAAAATTATAAAAAGATAGCATCTTGGCCTCCAAAGGCTCAAGACATCTACCCCAGAAATGATAATACATGTACCCCCCCCCCCAAATTTTTTCTCTGTACGTATTAGGAATGCAATACCTACTATCCCAGCTGGTACAAGCATCAAGACTGCTGAGGGAAAGAATGTGGGGAAATTCAGATGTCACCTACATCATAATGGACTTGCCCTCCTCAGGACAGCTCTCATGTAAGTTGAAAATGTTGTCGTGTCAATAAAATGTAATTAGTTTGTGCCTCTACAACAATGGTGTTTAAAACTCCCCATTTTTTTCACTAAGGAAAGTGCAAATTAAGGATTCAGGATGCTGATAAAATACATAACGTTCCATTTAGAGGTCAGCCATCTGTATAAAGTCCATGTGAACTGCATGGGAATCCACTTTCTAGAATCACCTGTCATATTTTAACAATTGATTTACTAAAATGAAATTGTTCCTTTCTTTTCTCTCTCTTTTTCTTTTTTTCCATACTCCTGATTCCCTTTTGTCCCTTTCTTTCTACTTCCTCTTATTTCCCTGATAATCCTAATCTCTTCCTAATCTTTTTCTTTTCTTTTCTTTTTCAAATTTGTCCATCCAACAATTGTAATTCCTCCATCCCCCCCCCCCCCTTCTCTCATTTTCCACCCTCTCTCTCTCTCTCTATCTCTCTTTCTTTCCCACCCTCCCTTTTTCTTTGTCTTCACATTCTTACTCATGCAATAATCCATATCCTCTTCCTCCCTCTGTCTCTGTATCTCCCTCCCTCTCTCTCGCTCTCTCTCTCTCTCTCCCTCTCTCCTCTCTCTCTCTCTCTCTCTCCCTCTCCTCTCTCTCTCTCTCTCTCTCTCCCTCTCCTCTCTCTCTCTCTCTGTCTCTCTCTCACTCTCTCTCTCTGTCTCTCTCTCTCTCATAGAGGTAACAAGCTCAAGGTCACCACTGAAGATGGAGCAGAGGCTGATCTAGAGGCAAGGAGACCATCATGGTGGCCGCAGGAAACTCACAAGTGAAAGGATCATTAAGATGCAAGAGATTGGGACTAAAATTGACCTGGAATCTGCAGGAAAATAATAATAATAATATTCAGCTGTTATATAGCGCTTAATACATCTCGGATGTCTCTAAGCGCTTTACAGATATACTATTACCCGGTCATTGGATTCTGTACTTGCCCGCACACACTGTGTAAACAATCTCCACTCCCTGGGGAGCATTCCAGCCAGGCGTTACATGACGCTCAAAAACTGTTTGACCAACAATGAGGGTCGCATCCTACCGGGTACCCATTTTAACACATGGGTGGAGAGTAGCAAGTGTAGGTTAATATCTTGTCAAAGGATATAAGTGCCGTGTCGGGATTCAAACCCTCGACCTTCGCATCTCCAGCGCCTTCAACCACTCGACCACAACACTCCCCCAAGTGAAAAGAGCATAAGAGGAAATCATAGACTTTGTTAGTCTTGGATTCTGCAGAACTTGACTTAACTTGGAATCTACAGGACAAATGAAGTAATCATAAGATAAAACAAGATTGTGACAGATATATTTGGAGTCTGCAGGAAACTAACAAGTGATAGAATCTTCAAAGGGGGAAGCCCACCCCCGATATCAAGTTTATTTTAATAGATGCAGAACTATGAAAGAAACCTGTCATTGAAAGTCGCATGATGCAATTAAACGCTGATATCTCATCGTGAAATCCATACATTGTAGTAACTGTTTTGAAATCATGTGATGGTGACTCACGTTTTTCCCCACAGATTCATGCTTTCATGACTTTATGTATGAGTAATATGCATTATTTGATATCAAGTTTATGATATTACAAATTACAACAAGTAGTGACTGTACAGCATTCATAAATAATATTGTCATCCCCCCCCCCCTTCCTCCAACTGTGTGATCACCAGAGTTCCTCGATCTTTTAAAGAGAAGGTTGAGTTCTGGGAAGAGGTGAAAAATAATTTGTGAGCATTACTCATTCTTATTATGCAAGCGTGGAAGAACATCAGTTAAGACATGTTCCCTGAAAAGCATGGTTCTTCAAATGCCTTCATATTCTAAATATGCATGTAACATCGTAAAAATCGGGGGGGGGCCGGCTTTTTACGCCACGTGTTCGTGTAGTCCCATATACATCTTTCTGTGCAAGTGTTTGTAACTTTACCAAGACTTGGCCAAATTTCTTATCATTTTGATGATTCCAGAACCTTGCAATACACACAAATTCTTATATGCTAGATGATCAACCTTTTCTGGTCGGTTCCACACCGTTTCTTTCACAATGCAATCGCATGACTAGAACTCAACTTCATCTTTAAGGGTTAAGGCATTGATAAGCACGGCTTCATTACTTCATGTAAACCATAAATATAATGTAATGTAATGACATACATGGCACATTTCAAATGTTCACTGTTATTATTATATAATACTGAAGCTTTTTTGAGCTGTTGCTAATGAATTTGTCTCTCTTGTTTTTCATGTTATTCTTAACATTTAGCAGAGGTTCCAAATGATTCTTTAATCACATGATTAAAGATGTGCATCTATCATACCCCCTGCAAAGGTTGTTTCAAGTCGTAGAGCCATAAATCAATATTCTGTATTGTCCAGTCCAAATGATGGAGGGTATTATCCACCAAATCTTTTTTCAAGTTTTATAGCCAGCGATTCCTTCAACCAAAATATTTTTTTCTTAAAAATTGCACTAGGAAGCATAACCATCCTAGGTGAATATTTGGACAGTTTTCTCCAATTGCAGTTGTGTGTTATCTTCTTGTATTGGCCATGTTTGTTCAAGTCTAATGATTATACTGTGAATTTCTGTTGGTCTACAACTAGTTCCTGTACTACACATATGGTCTAATCATGATTTTGTCTACTTATCATTTGGTCTAATCTCCAATAAGTCCATTACCCATTTAGTATATTGTTCATTTAATCTAATTATTAGTATTTCTAATGCCCATTTCGTCTCCTATCCATAAGGTCTAATAAACATGATTAAATGATTAAAAGTCCATAGTAGATAGGCTGGGTGTAGACCGTATCGGAATAGACAAATCGTGTAGTAGAAGAACTGGTTGTAGGCAATTAGCTGACTATAATACATGTGGGTTAAAACTAGGTCAAATTCACATTTGAACTTTGATAATTGTGTCAAAATTACCCATATATTTATATAATAATGTATCATTAAAAGCAAAATTAAATCATTTAGTTACAAAGTGCATGGATTATTTGTTTTCCCAAAGTGTCTCTGAACATTTGTTTGACCTATATCTGGAGGCTTATTGTCGTGGGTCTATACAAATCAGTACTTTGGGATTCATAAAAAACATGTTTCAATGGGTTGTATTATCCATTTTATTAGGTCAAAGTTATAAACAAGTATGAATAAATAAGTAATAAATGGCCTTCTGTATGTTTTGGCCCATATCCTGATCCTAGTTAGAAAAGATAGATAATTAAGAGAGTAGATGTTGAATTATCAGGATACATTATAATAGAGAAAGAGACAATTGAGATTGGGGAAAAGGGTATGTTGAATTGTGAGTGTGTGCATGTGCGTATGTGTAGGCCTTTTGGGGTTTTTATTACAGACATCTATCAAACGGCCTTGTTTCATGAAAATTGTTATCAATAAAAAGTTTAAAAAACAGTTATAAGCTACTGATTGGCAGAGAGCAAATTTGTCATAGAAATTGAGCATTTGTTATTGATCACAAGTTTTATGAAACAGGGCCCAGAATAGGATTATTTACATCAGGGAACCAACTTTTAACGTCGCCACCTGAAAGGTTTGACTGTTTTGACCTAGGGTCAGTCAAAGTCCAATTTGGGGCAGAGACAGAAAGCTGACCAAACAGCTAGAGGAATTTCGAAAAGCCACAGACAATTCTGAATTTATTAATCCTTGGAAGAAAAATAAGTGCATGTTTTAAAGCATTAAAAGTTACTCATGTTATATTAGTTGTAAGGTGGACAGAAGGAAATATACACGGAGCTTACCAGGAAGAAATAGACTGAGCCAAACCATTGAGGGGACACTGGCACTTCTGGATAGGGTTTGGGTGGTCATGTTTGAATATGATAATATTGATTTACAAGGCAGGGTGTGGGAGGGAATCCTATTGTCGCCATTTCTCGCCCATTTTCCATATGCTTATTTAGTTTTTCTTCGGGGGAGGGGGGCATGTGCCCCTGGAGCTACTATACGACATGATAACAACTGCTTGTACACGGGAGGGGGGCAGGTATAATGATCTAGCTTTGCCTGGTACAGAGTACCAAAGCTGTGACATCATAAACAATTACTTCTAGAATTTATCAATATGAACTTCATTTTCTGAAAGAGCATCCACTCTTAATTACTCAATTAAGAGTGGATGCTCTTTCAGAAAATGAAGTTCATATAGAGATTTCCGTAAAAATTGAATGTACTTGACAAGTACATTCAATTTTACGGAAATCTCTATTATAATAAGCGCCCTCTCGTGGTATGAATCCAATCCCAGGACCGAACCAGATCAATATGGTACTTTCCCTACTGTTTCCCTACTGTCGACGTGACGATCAGTGCACGTCATAATGCAGCTGGACGGTTGTAGGAGTATGACGTGATTTTTCTCTCTCCAGCTGAACGCACAGCACATCCATTCTTCTTGCTCGATTTGTTTGACATACTCGATACATAAAATGTAATCTGCGGATAACCACATTAACCTTTCGATACATAGGCCCTATATTTTTCTTTAAATGTTCATTGTGCAAGCGTCTTGAATAGCACTGGACGTGAAAACTGGGTTATAGTCAACGTCGTTGTCGTCATCATCATCGCCTTGCTCCATTTCGTGGATGATTATTGAGGAATATAGCAGTGTTTGCAACAATTTGTATTTTACCTGGATTGTGAAAACAGGAAAAAAAAAGACATCCCAACATTAGATAGGTTAGTGACGCAATTTGAGCGCGTTTCAATACGGAGTTTAGTGTTTTGATAACACGTACGCGCTGGATAAACTTCCAACAAGCCCTGTCGTCTGCTAACCTGACCGACAGCCGTCACTACTATACTGTTTGACGTTGCCTAGCAACTACGCAACAAGTGGGCGGGGATAGCAGCGGGTTTATTTTCCCACGTCCTCTCATCTATTGATGTTATCCATCCGTCTCAAACAAGACGGGTATTCAACACTCATTAGTCATCGTCTGTAAAGGGTGACTCCAAAAGAGAGCAGTGTAGAGAGCAGTGACGAAATCAGACAGTATTTCTATTAAACTAGTTCTTAGTTTTGCCTCATCCATCGATCCACAATCGGATTTTTATAAGCGGTGGTTAAATAGTGACACCTCACTACTTTGGTGATTATCTCTTTCAATTGGGACACCCCATTTTCATTTTGAACTGATGATTTCTGCACGTGCATGAATATTTCTGCAAGGTTCGTGCTCTTACCACCGATTTCATTTAAACATTTATACATCTAGCTGTCTCGTATCACTTCGGTATTACATTTCTTTCTTAGTCTGTCTTTTACTTGTTTATTCCTCTCCTTCGGTAACCCTCAATTAAAGTGGTATATAGATTTTGATTAACTTTTAAACAATATCCTTCAAAATATAACGCTTACGATTTTTTCTGGATCGAAAATAATCTGCTAAATTTGACAGTCGCCTTTGATGAACAGGTGGACGCTACATTATTGAGTGACCTATGCTGATCCGGCGAGGATCCAAAGCGCTTTAAGGGGGTTAAGATGATCACTTTCGGATTATCATCGTGCTACTGACGGGGGAACTTTGCGAAAGGGAGGGGTGCAACACCACACCCCTGTGATTACCCCTTCCTACATAGATTGATCCTAGATACTGCGAGCTTGTTGATTGATCTAAGAAGGATCTGTCGCTTTACTGGGAGATATCTATTGTCACTTTGGAGTCGTGCTAAAAGTGCACCAGTGGGTGAGCTTCACCGCTTTTAACCTTTCTGGAAGTCATCGTGTTCAGTCAGAATCGGTTGGTGAGCTGCACCGCTCTAACTTTCTTGTGAGTCTTCAATACCAACCAGCATCGGTGGAGAGAGTGACACCAACTGAAATAAAAGGGGTGCGTCCTGATCTCATAGGTGAAATATTTTTCGGGATTTTTGGAGAAGTTGAGGGGGGCAAGATGACGGGGTCTACCAAACAATCACCTGTTAAGATGCAGAGGGATATACGATTCACTGTTTTGGGTCAGAGAGGAGTCGGTAAATCAGGTGAGCATATATTGTATTTTCGTTGTGGTGACTATTGGTGATGGGGGTGGTAGTGATAGTGGTAGTGGTAATCGTAGGTGGTGTTTGTGGTAAGAGTGATGGTGTTGGTGTTGTTACGGTTGTGGCGATGGTTTGTTAGTTGTAAGGGTGATGGTCTAGTTGGTCATGTTTGGGTTATGGTAATGGTAGTCATCGAGTGGGTGTTGGTCAGGTTGATGGACGGTGTTTGTGTTGGTGTTTGTGATAAGTGTGGTGGTCTTGGTGGTGTAGTGGTGGTAAAGATGATGATGTCGCTGGTCGCGTTGAGCTTGAGGTTATTGTGGTTGTGCAGTTGGGGTTGGTTAGTCAGGTGATATTGGTCACTGATGGGTTTTTTTTAGTTGTGGTTGTGCTGATGGTCTCTTAATTTTCTATAATATACCAATAACAATATTACAATTACGATAATGTTAAACTTGTTAATTGTATAGTACAGGAGGCATTCAAAGCTATAACACCCACCATATTAAGTGGCAAGGTTTTAGAAAGTTAATTTCATCCTTATACCAACTTTCTATTACATGACTGGTTCGTATGAGGAAAATGTGTATTGCAGAACTAGAACTACCTCTCATATCGAGGCTCGAACCGAGGACCTTCCTATAATATTCAGCAATTATTCAAACTACTCAACAACCCAACCTTCCCAGTCAAGGGCGCGAAGCTGCACGAGTTACCCGATTGTTCGCAGTGGAAACATAACACCCGCCATGGGCGTCAACGTGTTAATCGAAATTTCCTATTGGCGTATCCAAAAGCGAGCTTCTCATTTCGAGTCAAGGATGGCGGTGACAAACAACGAAGCTTATATAAAACACTAATTCTTGTAACAACCGATTATGAGCATGACTGGTCCAGGGTGGAAGCCTTATGGATGCCGTGAAACAAAATCTTGTAAAATCATGATGGTAGTTGATGACTTTTTTGGGTAGAGCAAGTATGCTGTGCTCTTTCTTCTTGTTCTTGTTCTTTTTCTTTATGTTCTTGTTCTTTTTATTTATGTTCTTGTTCTTCTTCTTCTTCTCCTTCCTCTTCTTCTTCTTCGTCTTCTTCTTCTTCTTCTTCTTCTTCTTCTTCTTCTTCCCCTCCTTCTTCTTTCTTTATTTCCTTTTCTCCTTCTTCTCGTCTTCATCCTTCTTCTTCATCTCCTTCCTCGCCTTCTTTTTCTGACTTCTCCTCATCCTTCACATTTCGTGGAAAATAAAGTTATACAGCTAATCCTACAAGGTCTGCGGATTTTAGGCTACTTATCCAGGTATCACTTAACGGGAAGGAAGTCATTGTCTGCATGAATCAAATCAATTAACCCGTTGACTACTGAATTATCTAATTCCCATAGACTTAACACAGAGACCACCAGGTTCCGGTAAGCAATGGGTTAAGTACCTCTATGGAAAACAGTATCCGTGCTGAGCAGGGTTTTTAACCCCACAAGTGGTAAATAAATAAATAAATAAAAACGAATATGTCACATTAGTATAATTATGATGTACCATAATCTATTGCAGTGGTATAGGAACGGAGATGCGTGCCCCCCCCCTCCCTCCTCGCGCACCATTTTCGAATGGTTAAACATGAGTAAAGAAGAAGAAGAATTAAGAAGAAGAAGAAGAAAAGATAGATAGGTCTCGATATATATATAGAGAGAGAGAGAGAGAGAGAGAGAGAGAGAGAGAAAAAGAAAGAGATAGAGAGTGAGAGATATGGATAGATAGATAGGTCTCGAGAGAGAGAGATACACTGTCGCTCATATTATAGTTGGAATATTTTTGTTTCAGCCCAATTTATGGAATTATTTTAAAAATAATTCCATAAATTGGGGTAAAAAAATATTCCACCGTTATGAGCGAAAGTGGATATATATATATATATATAGAGAGAGAGAGAGAGAGAGAGAGAGAGATAAAGAGAGAGAGAGAGAGAGAGAGAATGAGACGGGGGGGGGGGTCCCCTCTCAAACCCTAGCTCCACGAGCTAGTCAAAGGAGGGGGGGGGGGCACTCGTTTCCCGAATGCTTAATCATGATTATTGGAGGATTAATAATTCCTTAACACACAACATTTTCCAGACCATGGGGATCACAGTTCCGAAAATGAAATGGGATTCACCGTGTTTATAATGCCTAAAATTGATGAATTACTGGTACATTACACTGAAAGATTACCTCTAAGGTTCTTTTACGCTTGAACGAAGCCCTATATACCCATTCACTATAGGGTTTCCAGCAAGATTTTCATGGCAATCGGGGCGAAAATCTAGAGGAAGATGATAAACAGCATTTCCACAGGCGTCCCTTTTTGCTAACAGCGGGACCTTTTTAATAGGTCAAACACCCGCAATCACTGCCATTATCCCACTTCCCGTCTACAGTACACCTCAATGAGACGGACTGTCATTTTCATGTCAAACTTAATTGAAGCAAGCAGACAATTTCCACCAAATTTGGACACGATTCGTTGGCCAGACACGCACATCTAGTTCAGGTTTTTTGGCTCTCTTTTTTGCCTGACCTATTTATGATTTTCTTGTTTTTATATTATGTCGTCCGATGAATTTGACCCAGAAAACAGGCCTTTAACCTTTTGACTATTCAATACTCTCATTTCCATAGGCTTAATAAATGGACCTCCCGGTACCAAAAGCAAAAGGTTAAAGTGTATCAGTATAAAATGATCTTGTGCGTATAACCCGAACAGATGTTGTCTCCAACAGGGACATAGTCGGAAAACCGAACAACTATTGGCCTGGGTATTCAATGGTGTATGCACCCGATATTATACAAACTTTTCCCATTTTTCAGTCATCTTAATCTCCCATGAGAATATGTTAGTACGACAGATGTAACTTGTTTGTGCTATGTTTAACCTCCGGACTAAGTACATGTTTCTATAAAGTGTATTATTTTACTCAAATATATAGGCCTATACAAAAGAAAATTGCAAATAATATACTTTAATTTATAATAATTATTTTTGATTTCTTGGTCGTTCATACCTCGTTACGATTTTTTGTTAGAATTAATCTTATCATTTTCTTATAGATGAAATAAACATTGACAGGGTAACCACGAAAGGTTCCTACATGTACATTCTTCATTAATTTTTTTTTTTTTTAAATAATTTCGGTGAGGGGTCCAAAACAATATTTTCAAATTCGTAAGGCCTCAGGTTGGAAAGAGAGAGAAAGAGAGAGAGAGAGAGAGAAAGAGAGAGAAAAAAGAGAGAACGAGAAAGAGAGAGAAAGAGAGAGAGAAAAAAGAGAGAAAGTGAGATAAAGGGAGAGAGAGAGAGAGAGAGAGAGAGAGAGAGAGAGAGAGATATCCACTGCACTAGCTCTCTCTCTCTTTTAGGAGATATCACTTTTCGCATGCACGTTCGCACATCCTTCAAAACATTCTTCATGTTTTACATGTAGGGCGTGGCGATGCGATAAACACGATAAAAACCCCGTTCGCAAAGAAACAGGTCACAGGGGCCTCAATTAGCTAGGTAATACAATGCTCTCATCTTTTTTTCTGGTCAATTCAAAAGAGCACTCCAATTTCGACAACAATTCGCTTTGAAGGAGAGCAAACCATCAAGGAAACCGAGGCGTAAAATCTTGAGTCTAGGGTTTGAAGTCATGAATGTTGTTGAAACGTGAAATCACTAAACGTTTAAAGGATGCGAAAGGCCATTTTTGTTGGATAATAGTGTGCGCGCCCGTAAAGAAAAGGGGCTACCTGGATTGCTCCTCAGGGAGTGGGGAATGTGCACTGTATTATGCAGAGTAGTAATGGAATCCAGTGATCGGGTTTATTATAATTACGGTACATCTTGTAAGCGCTCATGATGATAAAGCGACTTTTAACAAATTGGTATTATTACGTCAATTTGTTTCAACCCGTAATAATGTCATTGTGATGTGCTTACGAACAGCTTTCCAAAAAGCTGTTCCAAAAACAAACTAAGTCATGATTTTTTCCCCCAAAATGTTGACCGTTGATGTTGTTTTCTCCGTGGGAGGACCTATATTATTCAACATAATTATATTCAACAAGCACAGCCGAATCATGAAAAGGTTCCAGACTGAGGGTTGCCCCTTATTATGGGCTGACCACTGAATTCGCCATTTTGAGAGTTTGAAACCTATATCCATAACGATTTGCCTAAATCTATGTCAACACATTTATTTGATAGGAATTACCGCTGCATGGTCGTCTTTTAAAATCTAACTTAACTATTTAAATTAACTATCATTTAAATTTACTAAACTTATATGTATACCTATTCAATAAATACATTTGATTTCTTTCCATGTGTCTTTCACGTGGTTTTCAATAATTTTTATATACTGATGTATTGTAAAACGAAATATTTGTGTGTGAATGAAGTTTTCCAAATAAGCATATAGCCCTATCTACTTATTTTCCAAATAAATAGAAATAGATACATGAAATTTTTACCCCACTTCTAATTTCTCGTAGCTTTCTATTTGTTGACCAGATTACATGCACCCTTTCACATGTGATCTGTCACCTTTTTTTCTCAAAGTAGATTGTTGTCACGGCTCGATGGCCCTTTAAAGGCATCGTTTAACAATGTTAAATCTGAGATGCACGGCCCTCAGTGTCTGTAATATGGTGTAAAATTGAAGCCCTAACAAAATTTGCGCTTCAAAATGATCATGAAGTGCCTCAAGAATGTACAAATCTTTAAGTGAACGGTTTTACCATACTCATTTTCTCCAATAGACTGTAGTGTTATAAAAACCGTTGGGAAAAAAAAAATGATTCCGGTTCCGATCATTAATATCCTGATAATCAGACAGGCGATCGGCTTGTAAAAGTCATGGGTTTCCTGAACTGACTGACCTAAAGATTTATAATTACCATTGCAGCATGAGCTCAGTGGATAGAGCTCCCGCTTCATGAACGGGAGGTCGCGGGTTCGAACCCCGGCCGAGTCATACCAAAGACTTAT